GGTTTTTTTGAGACAGGGTCTCACTACGTAGTTCAGACTGCTCTGGAACTCAACTCTGTAGCCCAGGCTGGTCTCCAACTAGCAGCGATAGTCCTGCCTCAGCCTCCCAAGTGCTGGGGTTACAGGTGTGCACCACCACGCCCAGCTACAAAAGTTTCTTTCCCAGTGGATTATATTGCATACCTTTGGAGTTTATGCACTTTGGAGAACCACTCTACATCTTTCCTTAGACAAGTGCACTTTACTTGCTCACAGAGAGAGAATAAGGCCATTTTATTGGGAGAGAGGTTAGAAAAGAACTTAACCCAACCCAAAAATTCCAGTTTTCAAGTTTTCCCACTTATAATGAGTTGTATTTGACTGCATTTTCACTAATTATTTCACTGAGAAAAAAAGTACAAGGAGTCAAGTGATAAACAGTCTAATTCTGCAATTTCGTCACTAGATATAGAAGCCTAGACATTATTGCTTGAGAATGATATTTATAGATGACTCAGGATACACTGGTTTTCCTGAGGTCTTAGAAATAAAGTTAAGACTGCAGCCCGAAAGTCTCCACGTACCTGCCTGCCTTTAGGTCTAGATCTTTAACTGTGGTGGCAGTTTATGGGGCATGTTACTAGCTGCAAGCTTACTTTCCTTCCAGTCTTGCCTTTGCACTCAAGTTAGTTCCTTTATACTTGCTCTTTTTCCAGTTTAATGAATTATTCTCAGCCCTTTCCATGAATCTCTGCTTAGCTGTTAGACTCCCGTTTTCCCCTGATCAACTCTACCCAGATCTGTTGTGACTGAACACCTCTGTACTTTCCTATGGAGCATAGAGAGATGTCTGCACATACAAACAGAGGGAACCTGACAAACTTTAAGGGGCTCTTAGCCACACACAATTTTCTGTCTCATGGCAGGTTAAACAAAGGAGGTCAGTTAAAACAAAGAACAGGGTGAGAATTTATCAGCATGTTGGTTTTGACTTAAACCCAAAACTGTGCTACCATTTACCTGAGATTTAAGTAGGTTTGCATCACCTCAGATCAGTGACTCAGCTTGAGAAGTCCAATTCTACACTTATAGGACATTTGCTATGTGCCAGTGTGTAGAGTCTCAGTAGACTGAGCTGAGAGAGGACAGACAGGAAGGGACTAATTTGAGAGCACAATCTGTCAGATTTACCTGTCAGATGCTCAGCCCTATTCTCTTCAAAGGAGAAGGTTTATTCTGGCAGCGTTAGATTGCACAGGATAGAATGGAAGGCGTAAGAAGTGGCAGAAAAAAACAAGGCAAAGGGCTATCACAAGGGCTTTGCATCTTCTGATTTCTGATGGTGATGAAATTAAGATTTATTCTCTTGTAAATTAATTTAAACTGACTGATGTGTATCAGGGATCTGCAAATATTGAGCATCTGGATCTCAAAGAAGAAGGAAGAATCTCTTTGACCAGTTGTGTAATTGCATCTATTAGCCAGTCCTTCACTGTGTGCTTTTTTTGAACTGATCTTTTCTGTGGTGATTTGTGCTTTGTGCATGAGACATCATTAGGTCTGTTAGAGACAGCTGTCAATCAGGGATAATAGAACAGAGTAGAAAGACCACAGAGCCTGGACAAATACACTTTGTCCTGTGTTCCAATCCCTCAGAGGCAGTTTGCTGCATGTATACTTTATACTTCTCACTTGATTAGGCCTCACTGTGTGCACATCCCACTGAAATATGAATTTTTCTATTTCTCCACAAAAAAGTTGAGTCTGTTTTTGGCCTTCTGAATTTGGACTGGATCATGTGACAGAAGCAGAAATTCAGAGTATGCTTGTACATCAGGGGCTTCTCTCCCTTTTCCTCCTGGGAATCTTTCTGCCAGGATGTGAACAAGTCGAGGCTGGCCGACTGGATGACTGATGAGAGACCACACAGAGAGAGTTGTTCCATATCCCCAGATAGACCTAAGACAGTGAGTGTGGCCAACTGCCGCATCCAGCCACAGCGGAGTACACCCACACCAGCCACAGAATAGACAGAAAGAGAAAACATGTGCTGTTTCAGTCCACTAAGTGGACCCAAGAGTTGGGTTGTTCTGTAGTGTGGATTTTTATACAGAATAAGGTAACTAAACTGGGTGCATTGGTTCGAATTTGTAATCTCAGCTGCTCAGAGGTTGAGGCAGGAGGATGGCTAGTATGAGGCCAGTGTGGGCACCACAGTGAGAAGCACTCTCAAAAAAATGAAGAGTGGGGGAGAGAGGAGTGGAAGGGAGAGGAGGAGAAGAGGGGCACAAAGGAGAGGAGAGGGGGAAAGGAGAGGAGAGAAAGCTAATACAAACAAAAGCCAATTCTATCAAGGACATAAGAAAAAGATGGACATAGTGGTATACCACTATAATCCCAGCTGTGTTGGAGGCTGAGGCAGGAGGAACTCTAGGTTCACTCTTCAGTACCAAGGGTGGGGGGTGGTGAATGATGATTATAATACCCAGTATAATGTTTAACTTGGGAGTAAGGAAAATAAGACAAGATAGAATTGTAGAGTTCCTATTGTTGGAGAAAATAAAAACATAAGGGAATGACAAATATTTGCTTGGTTAAAAAGGATAAATGATACTTTGTGACTGAGGAGACACAGAATACTATAATGAAAGTGTTTTTACATGTACAAAAGAAGGAGAAAAATGTTTTTGTGACTCTCTTATATTAATTAATGATATAGCAAATTGCAAAACTTCAATTTATTAAACCCTAAAGGGAGAAATGATCAATATATCTGCTAAACACACTGGAATTTTTATGAAAACATACTTTTGGAAAGAGCGAAGTATGAAGATAAGTCTTAAGCTATGAAAAGATTTTGTTGTTTAAACTCATTTGCTATTCTTTTGTAATACAGCTAATCTTATATCTATTCAAACAGACTTTCACTTTAGTGAACTTAGGGTCTAAGTCAGTTATTCAAAGTTTTAAAATTTAATTATTTTCTATAGAACTCACAGTAATGTGAATGTATTAATGATGAAGTATTAGCACATGGATGAAATTTAGTCCTCAAAGTTGCTAGTGTGACATCGGGTGTTACATTATTTTTATTGTGGTAAAGTGCTTCACTAGAATACTGGAGGATATGGCTTCAACCCACAATGCAAAAAAAAAAGTCACTATCACTTTTTCACATTTCCTTGATTTCCACTAATAATATACACTATTTGTTGAAACAAACAATGAGCTATGTAGTCTCCCACTGCATTACGTATATAAATTCATTCATCCTTCCATCTGTCCTGGAAAGAAGATACCATACCCTGGTCTCAAGCTAGGCCTTTCAGGGACCCTTCTGACATGTACAAGGATTTAATAAAGAATTATATGTAGAATTATATGACAGGGGGGTTAGCTCAGTGGTGTCGTCACCTGCCTCTCAAGTGCAAGGTTCCAAGTTCAATCCCCAGTACCAAAAAGTAGATGAATTATCAGGATAAAGAACTTCATGCAAGCAATTAAGAAGGTTAAAAAGCACAATATCAAAAAGAAAATAGTTGGATATACACTAATGGGATAATGTTTACAATTGTTTTCCCACAGGAATATAAACATTATTGGACAGAGTTGAGAGGAGCTACACTTTTCTTTTATACTGACAAAAAAAGTATAATAGTAAGTAGTAAAATATGTTGTGCTGATTTAATTTTTCCCTATATACCCTTATTACAAAGTCTTTCATTTGTTGTGGGTTTTATGCCATCCAAGAATAAAGGTATTAACTCATGTTTTTAACTTGGCATTGCTTTATTTCTGATTCTGATGATTAGAACTTAGTTAATAAGTAGAAATTTTATATATCTGGATATAAATTTCTTAATACCAAGTGATAGGTTCAATTTTCCTTACATATGTTGCTTTTATTTGCAATTATAATTTGAAAGGAGCAAGATGATCCCCAAGACATAACATATAATATCAGAACTTAATTTTTCTTGAAAGATAAAAACATACTCCATCAAGTATGAGAATAACAACAAAGGGATTCTGAGATTTGCTGTATTTCAAAGTTTGATTGTGTGCTTTATTTTTTCCATAAATAAAATATTTTATGGTGTGAAAAACTATAATAGTACACAAGATCCTAATGGGATAATTAAGAGTGTGACATAGGAAGAAAAGGATTAAATGTGTAGGGAAAGTGGGAAGGGTAGGGGAAAGGAAATAAGGGAAAAGAAAAAATATGAGAAAATGAAAAAATGTAAATAAAGAGTTTATAAATGGAGAGGGGAGGAGGGGGTGAAGGGAGGGCAGGGACAAGGGAAAAAATGAGAACCAAGAACTGTCATGTGAAGGTACAGGATCCCAGTAATGAATGTAACTATATTGTAGACCTAGAATGTACCAATAAACTCAATAAGAAGAAAAACAATATTTTAGCCTATATAATGTATCCCACCTACAGGCATTTGAGCACCATTAGTGGTGAATTAGCCAGAAGCTATTAAAAATGAACTAACAAAAACAAAAAAACAAATTTGAAATGGACATCTTTTACTGCAATTCCAAATAGAAAGGCTTATACAAAGGTGTTTATAAATTCCATGATAAAGTTTTTAAAAAGGGAAGTTTTTTATTGTTAATTCCAACTTCCACTGACATCAGTCCATCAAAAGACCTCATCTAAACTCTGTACAATGCAGAGTAAATGACAGAGCTAACAATCATTGTTCATTACCTCATGTTGTAAGGCAGTATAGTTTGATGAGTGACAGTCTGGTGTGTTCAGACAGATTACCTGGGGTTTTATGCTGGTCTTGCCCCTGCCAACTGTGTGATCTTAGCCTAATTAGCTAACTTTTCAGTGTCTCAATGTATCAATGAGAATACTGACAAAGAATAGACACCATCTCATATTGGGCACTCTGAAGAGTTTAGTAAAAAAGTTATATAAATCCTTAAAGCAGTGGACAGAGTATAGGCTCACTAAGATAGTATAAAACCCTGAGGATAATAATAACAATGCCGTATTACCACACCTAGGCTTGAAAGAGAGGTACAGATCATTCTTGAGAGAAGTATGATATTTAATTAAGGGATGAACCACACAGGTATTAAATACCCAAATTCACTCCCCCTGCTGCATCTGCCCGTGTTCTCTAGTGGTCTAACCCAACAGTAACTCAAAGGCTGATGGAGGCCTTTGGTGTAGTCCATCTAGGTCCCTCTCCTGTTGTAAGAGAACTGGAAGGCAAAAGGATAAATGTGAATCTAGAGGAACAAACTACACAAAGAGAGGCAGAGATCACCAATATTCCATCCTCAAAATCTTTAAACTTCAGAAGAACTCAGCTCATTTCATAAGGCTATCACAAGAATTAAAAGAGATAGGATCTAAGATAGTAGCTAGCACAAAGTAATTCTTTTAGCATTTTACAGGAGTTATCTATTGCATTCTTACACCAACTCTCCCTAGGGGGTACTATATTAATCCCTTTTTTTTTGGATGAGAAAAGTCAAGGTTAAAGATTTTAGAAGTATAGGGATCAGACAGCTAATAAAAGGGGAACGATCTAGGTCTTTCTTGTGAGCCAGCTTTCTTAACCATCATCTCATGAGGAGTTTGTTATAATGAAATGCTGCATATTGCCCACCTGTCAATTTTGATAAAATAAAAGATGATGCAGACCCTTCAGGAAGGTTTGGGGTAATAGTCTGGAGAAAGTGCTGGGACAGAGCAGGTGAGAACTGTGTGTATTTATGCACTTAATGCAAGGAAGAATATAAAACTTCTTTTATGTATTTGAAAGGCTATCACGAAGTCATATGAAAGAGTCCCTCAATCTATTTAGGATTATTCTAGAGAAAAGGGCCAGTAGATGGAGATTACTGGAAGAAAAACTGGCTCAATTTAAGAGAATGCTTACTGTTAGACAGAGCTTCACAGGAAGCAAGAGGGCTGTGTTGTGAGGAGTGTCCAGCCCCTGGCTGAAGGACTGCAGGGAGGGATAACCTGAAGCCTAGTCACGGTTAGGTGGCACTTGGATTGGACAGATGACATTTAGGGTTCTTAAAAACAGAAGATATGACTTCCTTTCCTCTAATCAATGATCTGCCCACACACTCTATCTAACTCTGCCACTTCTTCCTCTGTTGTTTCCTCTTTGTTGCGGCAAAAACTCACCGAGCTAGATCAGACAGGCCATCAAAAAAACTGTTCTTAATTTAAGTTAAGCCCCTCTTTCCATTTTTATTTCTTCTCCGTTCATTGAACATAAAAGGCTAACTCTAACCCAAACCATAAAGAAATAACTCTACAAAATATTTATTTGCACTCCTTTACTCAGAAAAAGAAAATAAGACCTATAAGGACACTGACAAACTTAAAGAAGGTAAATCAAGGGTGGGGCTATGTTAGCAAAAACTAATAAGCAAACAAACAAACCCTTAAAACTATGCTAAAGAGAAGGGCAAGTGTGGCCTGTTGCAAACGGATCAATCCGCATAGACCCATTGCTCAGAACAAATATTTTTATTGCGTTTGGATGATATAGGAGTTCCTTAACAGGATACTCATGGCCAGTGGTATATGAAATATTAAACAGTGACTTTTTGGAAAAATGTGCATGTGAATATATACACATAAATTTATAATGAATATTAATGATAAAAAATACACAGCACACAATTTAAAATTTCACAGTGTCCCTTATTGAGATTTCCATATGGCCGATTGATTCCCAAATGCTTTCCTTGATTTTTGCTGATTCAACTTTTCTGATGAATTACATAATATTTTTTAATTCTGGAAGAATATTTTATTTTATTGATTTTTTTTTGCTATTTATAGTGAAACAGCTTAAGACACAATAAACTTTGAAATTTCAGCTGCATTGTTAACATCTTGCCTTTTATTTTCTGCAGTCTAGTCTGGTGACCAATAGTCAGTGGACATTGGGCCACGTCTGGCCCCATCTGGCCCCATCTGGCCTGGCTTGATTTTATAGTCTTGGAGCTAAGTAAACATCTTTTTAAAAACTATTTTAAGGTGTTGTAAAGAAAAACAAAAGCAAAAAATCTGTAATAAAGATTGTATGTATGCCTAAAGTAATTATTATTTGCTCTTATGCAGAAAAAAAGTGTTTCCTCTGGGACAGTAAATCAAAACCCAATTTGAACAGGCATACCATTATTTTCCATAGTGTAAACTCTCCTTCCATGACTCATTTCAACTTATTAATATGACCTCACTGAACTCAGGGTTTAGAAGAAAAGCACTGTAAAAACGTTATGATATAATATTTTTTACCATGTGGTACAAAAATGTAAATAACCTGAAACACACAGAAAATAAAATAAGGGACATGATTAGAAAGTAATAATTTGAGTTCTAATTATAATTTTCATTTTGAAAATTTTCATTAATGCATATTTGCAGTACATAGTGTTTACATTCCTTGTGTGGAGTCGTACATGTACATAACACCTTAATAACTTTTTCATCACTTTTCCCTCTCCCCGCTCTGCCCTCCACCCATCTCTTGATTGCTTCCCATCTGAGCAATATCTGTCTCCTCACTTCCTACTATCTCTTTAATTTTGCTCTTTATACTTGGGTTCCTCACGTAGGAGAAACTATGCGATATTTAAGCTTGTGTATGAGATTTATTACACTTCACATTATAGTCTCAAAGTTCGTCCATTTTCACTCACAAGTTTGTCTTTGTGGCAGATTAGTACACAATTGTTGGTAAAACTACATTTTCTTTATTGATTCATCTTTTGATGACCATACAGGCTGCCTCCAAGATTTGATTACTATGAATTACGGTGCTATCATCATGGGTATGCACATATCATTGCAATATGATGTCTTTAATTCTTGCAGCATGTTTATATAATTTAGTTTTTTATAATGGCTGAGTTCTACTACTCATTTTTGCAAAATTCCTGAAAATTTAACAGTTGGCTCTCACAAACATGTGTTAATCAGGTTCAACTCCAAAAACTAATGCATTTCCAAATACCATTTGAGATTGGGAAAGCCAGGATTTCATGCAAGGTGTGAAACAGTTGAAAAGAAAACATTATTTTCCTTCCTGATAGAACAAATGTGTATTATCCATGAAAGGGTTTAATGGGATTTTCCTTTATCTTTGCAGCATGTGGACAAATTAGATGTACTAGACCTTATACGCCTTACTGAACAGAATTCAGCTGAAAAGAATTGTGCAAACTTCACCCTTATTTTGCCAAAAGAGGAAGTGCATCTGAAGGTGAGTGAGAACAGGAGTCCGTAAAGAGCTGCAGTTATGAAGTGAATTCACTTCTTAATACTCAATAGCTGAAATAAAAAGGAATTATAAGAGGGGTTAAGTCTTATACTTTGTTACTATCTCTTGCCCTTTAACAAGAACTAGTTTTTGGAATTGGATTTTAGAAGAACATGTTCATTTATTTTATATACAACTATAATGAAACCTTATACTCTATCTTCTAACAAAGTCAGGAATCTCACCTCGTTTTTTTTGGAAGCTGTCCTTGAATTGAATAATTCAGTTCCAACTTGAATTCCTGGGACCCAGAGTCTACATTTTAAGGAAATGTTCTCACTTGTGGAGATAGCAGTTGAGAACAGAGGCTTGGAGTCAGACACCAGATTTAAACTTTATTCATTACCTGTGTGATTGTAGGCAGGTTTCTCAAGTTTTTATGCCTTTGTTTCTCCCAGAAGTCTAGGTATAATTCTCTCACTGAGGCCCACTTAAAACTGCATCCTTTCCCCTCCTTTACTCTCAAAACATGCTATCAATCAGTCTTACCCTAATCTACATTTTGTTTTTTCCATTTATTTTTTTCTGTACTATCAAATGTACCCTTATGTTTGTTATTCACTATTCCTTGCTGGACCCTAAACTCCATGGAAACAAAGATATTTGTTTTGTCCCCTGATGTAAACCCATACCTATATAGTGCACACCATTTAAAGATACTCAATAAATATATCTCAAGTGCAAAACAAATCTATAAAATAATAAAGTATCTTTTGCTGATTTGCCGTGAAAGTTGTCAAAGGACAAAATTATAACAGTTTTGTTAAAATATCTGAATTGGCTTTATTTTCTATTCTAGAATTGGGCAATACTGTACTTCCTTCCATAAAACAGAATATGTGTTCTAATGGGCTGAACCGGAGAGATTGATTTCATTGACAGAGGAAGGGGGGAAAAAAAGCAGAAACAAAGAATAAAAAGCAAGTTGGTTATTTCAAAGTTATTTTCCTAGTAAGGTAGAGATATACAAGCAATAGAAAAATAACTAGATATTTATTCCAGGTAACTTTTTTTTTTTTATAAGAATGAAGGGAAAACAAACTTCATTTAATATGGCAATCGAGGGCTGGGGATTTAGCTCAGTGGTTCTGCCGCTGCCTCACAAGCACAAGGTACTGAGTTCAATCCCTAGTACCAAAAAAAACCCCAAAAAACAAAAGAACCAAAAACCGAAAAAAATATATAATAGTATGCCAATTGAAATTGACCTGTGAGGCAGAATTGGCTGTTATTTTTCTCCTTATTTCTCAGGGAGGTCACATAACAACCCAGACTTTGGTTTAGGGATGTGGGACTTTAGCACGTGTGTCTCCCTTTTGACTTCTAGACTGGCTGTGGGGCCTCAGTGCAGGAACCCACTCTAAACAATAGGTTCCTAATAATGGTTACTTAGCAAGAGTAAATTAATACCGGTGAAGGTTTAGAACAATAGTTGACATTATAAGCACTCAGGCACGTTTGCAAACGTTATTATTAATAGTAGTAATAGCAGTAGTAGTATTTTAGAGCTAAGAACTGGACGTTTCTACCTACACTGTTTGTACCAACTTCGAGCTGGTCAATATTAAATACCAATGGAGAGAGAAAACATTAACTGACATAATGCAGAAATAAGTTAGTTTACATTTATTTTTAAGTATAAATTTACACAATTTATCTGTTTAATAAGCAAACAGATTAGAGATATACATTTCTATTTTCCATAAAAGTAATATTGAAATATTTCATAACAAATGAATTTTAATAGTTCTAAGCAAAGAAAACAATGAAATATTTCTTCATTTCATGTGATCCTAAGTGATTTTAAAAATTACAATTGACTTTTAAACTGCATGCTTCAATAGAAGAATATGTATTTTATCAATTTTGCTGGGTTTTGATGGCTTTCATATCTTGTCATAAAATAGTCATGAAATTCTAAAGTTATCTAAGTTAATAAAAATATTAATATTCATAGCCACTGATGCTTTCTTCATCTGTTTTTGTCTTCATCTATAGACAGAGAACACAGAAAGTGGGGAAGAATGGAGAGGCTTCATTCTTACAGTGAAAGAGGTAGGAAGGGCCTTACTTTTTTTCTTTTTTTTTTTTTGGTACCAGGGATTGAACTCGGGTCCTTTTGCTTGCAAGGCAGGTCACTCAACCTCTGAGCTAAATCCCCAGCCCCTGGAAGGGCCTTACTTTTGATCCAACCACTTATTCAGAAACATTTGCTGAACATCTACTATGAACCATGAAGAAAGAGAGTGAAGAATAACAAAGGGTAAACTTGGACCATTTGTAGGAAAATGGCTGCACCTGGAGACCTAATCTGAACTGAAATAAAGCAGATCTACAAGCTTAAATATCATGTTTTCTCTCATATGAGAAACCCAAAATATAAACAAAGAGCAAATTAAATGACAGATAGTAAAAAATAGGGAGATGCCTTTTGCAAAAGGGAAGGGGATCAAGTGGAGAAGCAGGGGCAGGGAGAGGGAGGTGATGAGAAAAGAATTCAGATCTGTTGTGTGCATGGACCGACTCCCCAGAAGAAATGTAAGGGCATGTACTGCGAACACAGACTGATAAAAATAAAAACCGAAAAAAAAGAGACAATGGCTGAAGATACAGCAATTGAAAAAGACAGATCCAAACCCTTGCACTTGCTTCTGAAAGTTATCATTTTATCAGGTAATTGGAAAGGAGGAAGAAAAAAAAAAAGCAAGTAAGCAAATAAGATCATTTCACATTGCGATAATTATGAAGACAACTAGCTAGGCAAGGTCCTCATGAATAACAGGTGGTCAGAAAGATCTACTTTTTCCATCCTATCTTTGACACGTAAGTTCTTTGTTTATTCTGATATTTATAGCTCATAGAGCAATTTGAAAATAATTTACAATTTCTTATTCATTTTATATTTATAAAATACTGAGGCAAATTTTATGAATAACATGCATAAAATAAAAAGGGGAGATGGCCAAACAATATTCATCTTTACACATTTGTTTAATGAATTTTATTTTATTTTAATTTTTTTAAGAGTAGGAAGGGTTTATTGGAAAATAGGAATAACTCCTGAGAGAAAGGAGGGGTCCAGAGTAGGTTGACATCAAGGTCCTTTGTCAGTGGTAATTTATAGCAAAGTCACAATGTGAGTACAATATGCGTCAAACTATAATCAACCAATAAGATTGTAAGTTCAGCTGCTTGGCTAGTATTAACCCAATAGGGAATCAGGGCACTTAGCAAGGGTATATGGCTAGCATCATTAACCTTGGCTTATCTATGACTTATAAAACAGGAACATTTTGGGGAAGGGATGGGCCCAGGGCTCTGGGCACCCATCCAGGTGTTGGATGCATATTTGGACTTAATAGACTAGGGGTACTAATTATACTTCTGCTTATTCCTTAAGGAAGTATACACGTCTGACCATTTTGACTTTATCTTGAGGCCTTACCTTCTTCAGATGCACCACCAGCCACAGTTTTGATATCTGTATTTTTCTGATTAGTGAATTTTGAAACAAAGAAATGCTTATCTCCTCAACTGGACAGCATTTTATCAGAAGCAAATAGTAGGATCTATGGTTTAGAGTTAACTGTTGCAGCAAGATAACTACCATTAATTTGAATGAAGCCACTGGAGCAACTGTCTTAGAAACAGGAGATATTTTTTTGATAAACAGCTCCTTCCCACAAAACACCATGTTCTCTGATACATTTAGAGGGTATGAATATTTTCTATGTTTATTAGGGTCAGCGTTAAACAGACTGTGTCCAACGCTAGTTTCTAAATGAAGTGTTTTGAAATAAACCCTTTTCCAAGATGTTGGATGCTGGTTCTTTATCTCAGCTAGTAACAGATAAAGGTTGAAGGCTCAGCTACTGTGTAGGGAAGTTAAATCACGACAGGTGAGAAATGTGGCTGGGTAAAGATGTGAAGGATATGTCGCCTTGTGGAGGTTGGAGGAAGAAACTCTTAGGGAAATTACACTTCGTTCCTCTGTTATGGAAAAGCATCACTGTGCACCTTCGTGCCTCTTTTAGTAGCCTGTGTTCCTTAGGTCATCGAGGAATACAGTAAAATCACTGGAGAGGGGTGCTTGTTATCCTTTTTAATGCTCTAATTATACTTGAAGGTTTGGTTAACATTTTGCTTATACTATTTTCCTTAAAGTAAGGATACAAAGCATAATTTTTATTTCACAACACACATACATATTGCAAACTGCCCCTATAAACATGCCTGTGCATACATGGCTATAGTATGATGCTTTTAATTCTTTTAGGGAGATACCCAGCAGAGGAACAGCTGGGTCAAATGGGACTTCTAGTCCTAGTTCTTTGAGGTATCTCCATGCTGATTTCCGCAGTGGTTGCACCAGTCTGCACTCCCACCAGCATTGGAGCAGGGTTCCTCTTTCTGCACAGGCCTCCAGCAGTTGTTATTGGTTGATTTCATGATAGCAGCCATTCTTTCTAGGAGGAAGTGAAATCTCAGTGTTGTTTTTATTTGCAGCTCTAATGCCCAGTGAGGTTGAACTTATTTATTTATTTTGGTACCTGGGATCAAACTCAGGACCTTGTGCTTGTGAAGCAGGCGAGGTGCCACTGAACTAATTCCTCAGCCCTGTTGAACATTTTTTATTAATATGTTTATTTGCTGCTCTACTTCTTCATCAGTTGCCCATTTTTGGACTGGGTCCTTCAATTTGGGGGGGTCTGATTTTTTAAACTTCTTTATATATTCCAGATAGTAGACCTTTGCCTGAGGAACAGCTGGTAAAAATTTTCTCTTCTCTCTATTGATGGTTTTTCTTGCTGTACAGAAGCTTTTCACAAGAACAGTTCCCAATTGTTGATTCATTGTGCCAGTTCCTGTGCAACGGAGGTTTTGTTTGAAAAGTCTTCAAGAGTTCTATCTAGCCTATTTCTAGCAAGTTTAGTGTTTCGGTTTTAATATTTAGATCTTTGATCCATTTAAATTTTAGTTTAGTGCATGGTGAGACATAGGGGTCTAGTTTTAATCTTTGGCAAGTTGAAACCCAGTTTTTCCAGCACCATTTATTAAACAGGCTTATCTTTCCTCCAGTGAGGGTGTTTGGCTTTTTTTTGTCAAAGATAGTTAAATCTTGGAAACAGTCCAAATGCCCATCAACTGGTGGCTGGATAAAGATGCGTTTTGTTTTGTTTTTGTCTTACAAAAATTCAGCTATTGATAAACTAGAGCCATTAACTGCTGAATGGATGCACCGAGGGCATACTCTTAAGTGAAATTAATAGGACACATGTGTAAATACCGAATTGTTTCTCTGGTGTGAGAAACTGAAAGTATAAATGAGGACCAAAATGTACAATAGATAATGTAAAATGGGAAGAAAAGGTTTAAAGGGGAAAGGGAAGTGGGGGCAGCGGGAGGGAAGAGAAAGAATAAAATGCAAAAAAAAAAAAGGAAAAAATGAAAACAAAGCTTTTGTAAATAGGGAGGGGTGGAGGGGTGGAAGAGAGAGAAGGAGAATGGGAAAAAACAAGAAATAAGATATATCATGTACAGGTACAAAATCCCAATGATGAATGTGATCATAATATATACCTAAAATGTACCAACAAATTTAATGAATAACAAAATGAGTTATGGGGCCAGGGATTTAGCTCAGTGGTGCCACACATGCCTCAGCGATACAATATCCTGAGTTTGATCCCTAGTACTAAAAAAAAAAAGAGAGAAAGAGTTAGGAAAAACTGTGTAACAGACTATCAGATAAAATTCATGTGGATTTTCAAGAGAAGACACTCTCAGTTTTTGTGCTCTGCAAGTGTGTTGTGCTAAGATCCAGACCATTGTGTGTGAACGTTCACACCATGCTGTTGGAACTTTGACAGAGAAGCGTGAGAAGCACAGGACAGTTCTGTGAGCTGAGACCCTTGCTTTTCAATGAAATCAACATACTTAAGTTTATGTCCTGGTTCTACAACTTACTAGTGAGGGGACTCTGGATGAGATATTTAGTTTTCCTGAGCATGTTGTTTTTTTACTTGTAAAGTGGGGATAACAATATCTATCTTATATTATTGTGCTTATTTCCAATAATGCACGCACAATGTTTGAGATGTAATAGACATTTAATAAGTAGCTGAAAGAAAACATTAAAATAAATAAAAAATAAGGAGTAAACTATTTTCTTAGTTTCTTTCTCATTATGCTACTTCTTGTGGTTTGGCATATTAAGAAATAGCTTTAGAGTCTAGCTTGGTAGCACATACAACTGTAATCTTTGCTAATGAGAAGGCAATCCAGAAAGATTGTGAGTTTGAGGTCAGCTTGGTAGCTACATAGTGAGGCCCTGTATTTAAAAATAAAAGGAAGGAATGGTCTCTAAATCTTTTTAATTGTGTATCCCTATTAGTGAATTTTTACTTAAATATTATATGTAAATATCTATATCTATCTATATAGATATGTATATCTATATAGATATATATTCCAAAATAAATATTATATGTAAATATATATCTACATCTATATAGATATAGATATATATTCCAAAATAATTTGAAGTAATGAAATAGTAGCTAAATAGAAAGTGAAGCTCCGTTGCTTTCTTCCCACACTCAGTGGACTGTCTCATGTGTCCCCTGGAAGGAGTGCACTTCCCTGTGGTAATAAAGATGGGAACCAGAAATGACAGGCTTCAGAGGACTCAATGGTGACACATACAGAAAAGTTTTCAGACTATATCCATCTCCCAAAAGCACATAGCTAGGAATACATAGGGGCTAAATTAGCTGGGCATGGTGGTACCTGTAATTCCAGCCCGCAGCCCTCAGGAGGCTGAAGTAAGACCATCATGATTTTGGAGCCACCCTGGGACTAAATGGGGCATTGGGATGCAATGCAGGAGGACATATGCAGATGACTTAATTCAAAATATACCTCTAGAAAAGGTAACAACAACAAAACCAACTAATATGTAGAGAAGAGTCATAATTTTTGCATATGTATAAATGTTTGAAACACACACAATCATGTCAAAATACAGCACTCTGATTGCCGATCCTCTGGCATCTAGTGGACAGTTTCATCTTTATCCCATAATGTCATAATATGGTTGAGTTATTCCAAGTTTCCCTGTGGAAAAATGAAGTACCTTGTAGGTGCTTTTGTGTAACCTTTGCATCGATGAACTAGCAAGCTCAGGATGAAAAATAAGAGTTTTGTCATTATTTAAATTAGCTTGTAGTACAAGGTAGATGTACCTTGGTTTGGGACCAGTTCAAAAGGGAGATTTCTTGGAAGAAGAGTGGGTACCATGTGCACGTTCTAGTTGCTTCAAAGGTCCTTCTAAGACACCCCCTCAGGACCAAAATTCATTTATGGTTCTATCCATCCACATTTCCAGGTGACTAAAGCTCCCTAGAATCACAGAAGCTTTATCTTTACAAAAACCAGCACATTATTTAGCTGTCTTTCTAGACTGCCTACTGTTTTAATGGTTTCAGTTGTCTGTGCCCCAAAGTGTTTCACTTCTACCTGGGCAAGTGATTAGACTGCATGAAGTCCTGGAGAAAGAAAAGAAAAGAAGGTCTGAGAGACAGCAGCTACCAGTCACATCTGTGGAAAAAGAGAAGGCCCCAAGTGAAGAACAGGTGATTGCACTGAACCCTATGCCAGCGTAAGTGCCCAACTGACTCTCGTTTATTTATTTAGTTAAGACTAGTTTCTAATTACCAAGGAGAGTTTCTCATTTGACCTTGTTTAATCAGGGACCATGCAAAGTCTTAGGGATAAAGTGAATGTCTCTGAGTACCGGCCACATTTCCTCTTCTATGTCATGATCAACACAATGCAGATCGGAACCAACTCTTTACCACACAGGAAATCCCCTTCTACCCACACCATTGGACCAGACAGATAATCTTTCCGGAGCTCAGACCTAAATAAATGTTCCTGTGAAGAAGGAAGGAAAAGATATTTTTTCATCACACAGCTCTATAATTGACAGATTTTCTATTAAAATTATAGCAAAGAATTTTAAATGCTTGGAATGTTCTGTGCAATCCATGGACCAGTAAGTAGTTATGGAGTCTATGCTCTTGAGGATAAACTTTGGAATAAACATCAAACATTCATCATCTATGTTGCTGAAAAGATTGTGAGCCCTTTTCTCCTGGGGTTCATGCCAATGAAACTTGACATTGGGTTCTAATACAGAGTCCACAATCACTGAAATCTACCAACCTCTTGTAGCTGAAAGCAAAGATAACCACTGTACTGAAAGAATAAAGGTCAAAAAATTGCTTCTTTTTCTTTTTTTTCTCTCAATAAAAAAGGTATGTTGATTAAGGTAAAGGAAAGATTAGAATCATTCCACCTAGAGATATTTTTGGTGTATATCATACTCTGCCAGTTTTTAAAACTATGACTATGTCTATATATTTCATTTTCTACAATATATATTATAAAAAAACAAGAAGTGCTATTTTTAAAAAATGTGTAAAAACACTAACATTACAATTGAAAGGCATATTATACCAAAAGGAGTAAGTTTTGTTTTTTAACTTGATTTTTTAAATTAAGTTTATTGGTACTTTTTAGGTATGCAGTACAGTTATATCCACTGCTGGGATCTTGTACCATGATGTATCTTAGTTCTCAGTTCTTCCCCATTCCCCTGTCCTCCCTTCACCCCCTCCACCCTTCCCTAGTTACAAAGACTTTGCTTCCATGAAAGGAGTAAGTTTGGATGCATCCTTAAAATCAGTTTTTGAAAGCAAAGATCCCAGATATACTTAGAGATATTTTATATCCCTGAAAGGAAACCACCAACCAATATTTATCCAAGATCCTGCTTACCACCTGAGACTGGGGTTACATTGTTCATTGCTGTCTTTGATTTCTCAATGGTAGTGGTGATTATACTATAATTTTCTGTAGATAATTTTTCAGGTCCTCTTTATCTAAAGAGGCTTTGAGGAAATTAGAGACAGCATTGGCATTAGTGTACTCATAGACTTATAGCATTAGGTCATTGTATCATTATAATTGTAACAATAAAATTGAAGTTTTAATAAAAGTTAGTACATGTAGCTCTGAGAGGTATTTTGACAGTTCTGTTTTTAAGTCATGATCTTCATCAATTAAAAATCTGTTTTTTACTCGCTCCTGTCTAGATGTTTTTATACAGTTTCCCGGAAGGAAGCAACTGAAATGTTGGAGAAGAACCCTTCCCTAGGAAATATGATTCTGAGGCCTGGTAGTGACAGTAGAAACTACTCCATCACTATCCGACAGGAGACAGAGTATGTTTAATTTAAAAATGTGTATTACTGTTAAAAACATGACATTGCTTTAGAAATCAAAGTTATACAAGTTGGATTCAATGCCTATCTTGTTGCTAAAAGTATAAACCAGAATAGAGAAAGCATGCCAATAAGAAAGAATGCAGAATGAGCCACAGGTAATAGCTGAAGTGGGGAAGAAAAATGAACAAGTCACTTTGGTCCTAGATATAATGGTGGTATTGTTCATCCGTTCAAGTCAATGATTATTTATTGGTCAGCTACTATGTGCCAAATAATTTTCTAGGCACTAAGGATACGCAATTTAGAAAAAAACAACATCCTTGGTTTGAAGTGATTGACCTTCTTGTAAGGAAAAACAGACTACAGATAAACATGTAACTAAAATATAAATATGGTGATAAGGTCTATGGAGTAAAAGCAGGATGAGAGAGACAGGAATCCTCAATGGCAATAAAATGAGAAAATTTTTGTAGTTGCTGTTGTTTTAACATAGAGTGGTCTTGAAAGGCCTAGTTGATTCACTTACACTGGAGCAGAGATCTAAAGAAAGTGAAGGAATAAACTTAGCCAATATCTGGGTTAAGAACAGGCCAGGCAGCTTGGGCCCAGAGGCAGAAGAATGCTTAGTTTGTTCAAGAAACAGAAGGAGACCATTGTGTCTGCAATGGAGTCATAAAGAAGAAAAGTTTTAGGAAATAAGATTCTAGAGGTGGGGCAGGGACAGATCACTCAAAGTCCTGCAGGTTTTCTGTTGGTTGGTTGATTCTCTGAGACAGGATCTCACTATGTAGCCCAAAGCTGGCCTTGAACTCACTGTGCAGCCCAGGCTGGCCTAAAACTTCCTGCCTCAGGCTCCTGAGTATGGGCTGGGATTACAGGTGGGCACCACATGCCTGGTCCCTGTAGAGACAAGACTTTTACTCTGGATGACATGAAAGGCTGCTGGGCTGTTTACAGTCTGACTTATTCTTAAAGGGCTACTTAGGACTCTCCTGATAAGGTTAGTAATTTCTTCAGGTAAAACTGGTTAACTAGTGACAAAGTTAGAAACAGTTAAATGCAAATGTTTTTCCATGTCTGTAGTTAGAGAGAGTGGATCTTTTAAGAACCACTGTAATTTTTAAGAATCTATGAAAACTTGAGTGATAAACCTCTGTAGTTATAAATGGAGTCAATATGAAGGCAGTGATAATGAGTCAAAGCAGTAAAAAAAAATAGTCAAAAAAGAATACAGTCACTTGCATGAAAAATTAAAATTATGGCATTATGACTGCACTGTTAGCTATGGCCTCAAAAGCTGTATTCACTGGCCAATTAGTCCATGTATATAGATACTTGTCTTTATACACTAACTACTTTGTATAAACTAACATTGAACAGATGGCATGAACAGAATAATGTTAGAGGGTAATCCAGATCCTGATTCTGTGTGTGTTCTACAGTGAATATCTGTCAATCTTTATGTGGCTCCCTGATGTTTTCTGTGTTATCTTAATAACATATGTTACACATTAATAATGAAATTTTAACTCCACTGAGATATTGTTAAGTATGTAGATTTTTTTTAAATTTATAGGTTATTTGATTTAAAATTTGACTATCTTGAAACAAAGCCCAAAGAAACAAAAGTTATCATCACCATTAAATATCATTAAGCTTAGAACTCCTAGGTGAAAAGTGTATTTTTTGGTTTTGCATCTCTTGGTCAAGGATATTTTCATTTTTTTTCAGAGTGTAGGGAATTGAATATCACATATAAGATAGAATACCTTTATCTATTAACTTCCACTTTTTAAAAATAGGAGAATATAGGCCGGGCGTGGTGGCACACACCTGTAATCCCAGCACTCGGGAGGCTGAGGCAGGAGGATTGCTGTGAGTTCGAGACTAGCCTGGGCTACATAGTGAGTTCTAGGTCAGTCTCCACTACATAGTAAGACCCTGTCTCAAAAAACAAACAAACAAACAAACAAAAGAATATAAAATTGAATTAAAATTCTCATAGAAAAATTTTTTAAGAAATATAATCTAACTGATAAAAAAAGTAGGTCACAGAAGAAAGTGATAAGTTTTTGTTATTCCTTTCTTGGTTTGTTTGATTTGCTCACATGTGAACTATTTCCTGCACAATAGCTACAGATCTGTTTTAAGGTTGTCTAAATTAGTTATGCATTTTCCATACAACTGAGCTAGAGAAATAACATCATTTTTGCTACAAATGTGGACTATGACTGTTATAAATGGCACAGGAGAGGCCACCTGGACACAGGTTTTATATGACAAAAAAAGGCTGGATTTATTCTCTCTGGATGCAGGCTGAAATCATGAATGATGTCAGCAGCTACCTGGGAAAGAAACTAAATTTTTATAGGTTCTGAGAAGGGGGCTATAATACTAAAGGATCTAGAGTGAAATGTTTGTTTGAGGGTCCAAGGCTGGGCAGCACAGGTGTGCATATAATACTGGACTCTTCAGCACCAGGGTTATTGTGTCCTAAAGTTTCTTTAGGGCCTTCTGTTCTGTTTATTGGGAGTAGCATGGCCTTTTTGTTGTTTGATGAGTGTTGCATGCTACCTTAGCAGGTTTCAATTGGGTCAGGCACGACAGCGACTGCATGCAATGAGTTTCTATACTTAGGATATGAATTTTTTTTTCCTTGCAGGACCTTATGCTTAAAAGGCAGGCAGCGGCACCACTGAGCTAAATCCCCAGCTCATTAGCATATGCATTTAATGCCACAGATTTACTAGATTTATATTGTATTTTAGTTGTATTTGAAATATCTAAGCGTTTGGAAAAGGAGTTTATATCAAAGTTATGTAATTCTAATTTTAGTAAGCTCACTTCCAGTTTGATGTAAGCTGATGGTCATAAAAATGTAATAAAATCACTTCCTCCTGTAAGGACTTAAAAAGCAAGAAGTGAGGTATATAGTCAAGCCAAAGCATTCCAACACTGGGATTGGTATGTGCTCATTGTGCTTGGGAGAATTACTTATATTTGCAAAATTTTAACTGTTCGTAACATCAAATTTTCCTTATGAACCAGATTACATGTATAATGCTAAGGATCATTATCTGTGTCTCTAATGCATCAGAACATGCCTTTGAGAATGCCTGAATTTCATATCTTCCATTTAACAGGCTATTTATTGATTTATATTTTTATTTTTTGGTATCAGGGATGGCATTCAGGACCTTTTGCTTGCCAGGCAGGTGTGGTGCTGCTGAGCTAAATCCCCGCTCCCTGGCCTTGTCACTTAATTGTTTAGGACAACAATTATAAAATGTATGAGAGCCAGGAGTGGTGGCACACACCTGTAATCCCAGCACTCGGGAGGCTGAGCCAGGACGATCACTGTGAGTTCAAGAACAGCCTGGACTACACAGTGAGTTCCAGGTCAGTCTCAACTACATAGTGAGACCCTGTCTCAAAAAAAAAAAAAAAAGTATTAGAATTACAGCTTAACAAAAGACTTTAGTAGAAATCTGGACTATCAGGAAACACCTGTGTTTCCAAAAACCCAACTAATTCTCTTACAAGTGCATTATAGAGAAGTGTTCAGCCATGGAAGGTAGATGAGTATGTGTGGTAAAACACCAGCTGAACAGGACAAGTTCGTTTACAAAGCAGTTCTTGAGAGCAAATATTTTCCATCTGTTAACAAATCAGTTGTGGGAAAGAAGACTCTTCTAGGAATAAACAGTCATTTGCTGACAAATGAACAGGTGTAGAGTATCACCCATCTTTCCCAGACTGTTGGCAGCTGTGGCGAATGCATTCATAAAACAGAAAGCTATTCTACAACTTAGTCTATGTTTTGGTTTTGTTTTCTGGAAATTATTGACTAGGTAAAGACAGCTTGGAAAGTTATTAGCTAAGGAAGCAGTGGAAAATATTTAAAACAAAACAAGATATGAAAGAAAAACAAACAAAAGGTGTAAAATGAGAGTCAAAGCCTAAGCAACTTTCAGTGGAATTTTTTCCACCTTCCTTTTTGCTTCAGCGTTCTCCTATTAGTCAACATACCAAGAGACCCTTGTGATGGTCATTACTAACAGAAGCAGAAACACTCCCCCTTTCACACAGGTCCCACTTGTGAACCCTGTGTTGAGCTGGTGAACAATGCCTTCAGGCACAATAAAAATACCGAGGCAGACAGGATTTTACATGTTTTGCAAATGAAGAGGCCAAGAGTCACAGAAATGATCAAATTAAATGACATTTAAAGTGTCGTGAAAATATAGTTAAAATGTCCCGAGTGCTTAAAAGTGTCAGACACTACTGAGGACTTTGCAACCATTAGCCCAAAGTATCCCTGTGATGTATGGCATCACCATCTCCATTTTATAGATGAAAAAATAGGAAAGCACACAAAACAGAACGAGAATCTGAACCGAGGAATAGCTAGCATTTACTTTATAAGATACAGAAATTCGAACTGAACTTGGAGAGAGTTTGCTACAATAACTATGTAATTACGAAGATCTGCCCATGCTAGGTGGTAAAAATAAAGCTAGATTCAACCACAAATGAGTACATGTAAGATTGTGCTGTCTAAATATATTTCTTCACCAGTCTGTAACTGACTTGTGAAGTTTCAACATTAAAAAAAAATATGTTATTTTAGGAAGGGAGTGAACTGGTTGGCTTTCTGCCATTTTTTAAAAAAATAGGTCATGAAAATTAATTTATTACTTGTTTTCTAACATAGTATCCAGTTGAGAGGAGACTTGGATAAAAAGGCAATGAGGAAAGAGACTTCTCAGTAGAAGATTTCTATATAGTGTGTTGAGTGTAAGAACTGTAATATCCATGGAAATGGAGAAAGAAGTGATTTAAAAAGGTGGAAAGACCTTGCAGAACAGCTTAACCTAATGAACAATCTTGCTTTAAATAACTTCTGGACAAAGGACAAATCTCGTCATTCAAACAAATGACATAATAAATACTGTTAACTTTTAAGCATTAGAAAAAGTTTATTGTCATATGAATCAAAGGGATTCAAGACAAACATGCTATTGCTAAAACTAACTGGCAGGGATATTGACTTCTGCTCTCAGTATAAATCTGTTTAGTTCTAGGAGATAGCATTATGAGGTGATTTAATAATTTTTTTTCATAAATATTATTATATGCCCAGCACTGGCACAAGAATGTGCTACTTGTTTCTAAGGAGTTCATAATCAATAAAATATCATATATTCAGGGTGGTAATAATTTAGAGTACTATGTAACTATAAAAGAAGAAGGCAGCCAGGCATTGCGGCAAATGCCTATTATCTTACCAGTCTGAGAGGCCGAGGGAAGGGAATTGCAAGTTCAAGCCCAGCTGGGCCATTTAATCACTTGGTGAGACTCTGTCAAAATTGAAAAGAAAAGGAAGATGTAGACTCATTCACCAAAATGTGTACTTCGTGGGGAATTGACATTTAAAAGATAATCCTTAAAAATAAATAAATAAATAAAAGATAATCCTTTCTGGTTTTTTTTCCCCTTTTGATGCCCATACATTTTTTTAAACATTAATTTTTTGCCTTATTTTTATTTATTTATTTTTGGTATTGGGGATTGAACTTGGGTCCCTGCGCTTGCAAGGCAGGCCACCGAACCATCGAGCTAAATCCCCGGCCTTTATTTTTAATTTTTATTCTTAGTTCTTGATGTCTCCCTTTTAATTTCTCATTCACCCATTCAATGACCCAGATTTCCTATATTCCTAGTGTGTAAATCACCCCTTCTCAACAAAGACACAGAAAACCAGGTTAAAAAAAAAACAAACAAGGAGTTTTCTCCAAAAACTATAGTCATGGGAACATAGGTTTACTATATAAAAATAATGTATACTAATTCTAGTTTGCATTGACCCAATCATATAACCTTTTGTATTGTTCTTTAGCATGCCAAGAGTCAAGCACTACAAAGTAGTAAGCACAGGAGAAAACTACACTATTGAATTGGAGAAACCTGTAAGTAGCTATTTCTTTGTTGCTGATAAATTTTCTCTCCTCTCAAACCTACCTTTATAGGATAGAAGGAAAGGTGGGAAAGCAGACTTCTTTTCTAGGACACAGGTAAGTTAAGGAGTCCTGCAGGGGCAGATGCCCTCAACGAGAAGTGAGATGCAACAACAGCAGGTGAGGCAGAACAGGAGAAAATGCTTCTGAAGACACTTTTTGCTTCATTGTTCTGCAAGTCTTTATTTCTTTGCACTACTGGCAATCAATGGATGCTACAGGGCCTCTCTCATGCTAGGCAAGCACTTCTGCCACGGAGCTACATCCCCATCCTTTTTTTGGCGGGGTACTGGGGATTGAACTCGGGTCCTTGCGCTTGCAAGGCAGGTGGCAGATCCACTGAGCTAAATCCCTGGCCCTTGAATTTTTATTTTTTGAAAGGAGCAAGTTGCCCAAGGTGGCCTGAGATTTGCTATTCCTATGCCTTACTCAGCCTCCCAAGTAGCTGAGATTATATTTGTTCTCTTCAAGTCCTTATTAATATAATTGTTTCAGGGGAGAAAAAGTATTTTTATTAGACATTTGTCTTACATGCTCCAATTATAAGTATTTAGATATGCTTATTTCCAAGACCAGTGGCAGTGAACCTATGGCACATGTGTTATTTGTTTTTCTTTTAAGACAAAAGATATTAATGTATGAATTGTTTTTCCTAAACTAAAACCTCAGTATTCAGGTTAAATTGCCATATTGGCACTTTGTGATACATTAGTGGCTTGTGGGTCATAATTTGGGTACTCTTCTCTAAAAGGTTTGCCACCATTGATCTAGGCCTTTCAAACCTGCTGTGCTGAAGTTGACAAATTTCTTCTTAATAAAAACATAGCAGTGAAGACAGGGTTTTTGTTTTTGTTGTTGTTGTTGTTTTGGTGCTGGGGATCAAACTCAGGACCTTGCACTTGCAAGGCAGGCGGTAGCACCACTGAGCTAAATCCCTGGCCCAGAACAGGGTTTCTTTGTCTTCAAGCCCACTCCAAGCCTAGCTGATTTATCAGTGACTAACAGTATAAAATCAGAACCACCAGATAACATGTTAAGCACAGAGCTAAGTAGTTTACATATACAATTTAATGTTTTTCAGTACAGATATTCATACCGGTCTCAGGCAATAACAGTGTGACATGTTCTAGGCTGCTATGAAGGAATATAGCTTTGTGATCTGAGCTTGCAGTGATGATGTCTCTGAACAGAACTTAAATGGAACTGATGGGTCTCAAAAGATATTTACAGTTTTCTAAAATTGAGCTCCTAGTTCCTTTACTTTTCCAGGCCATTGTGCTGATCAAATAGAAAGAGAAACAGTGCAATTGAGTTACTTGTATTTCAGTCATAACCCTTAGAGACAAAGAGAGCTATTGGTTTATGCAACACACACGTTTGCCATAAATCCTCTCAAAGCTGCTCAGTTCTTAGATCCATGCTTACTGTATTTTTCCTACTGTATTTTTAATGGAGAGAAGAGTTAGCTTGCTAAAGTATCTTTCAAATTATCAAGGAAATCGAGTTAGCTTGCTAAAGTATCTTTCAAATTATCAAGGAAATTGAAGCAATGGTCAGAGAGAAGTAGTATATCTAGTACATATGTGGAACTGGTCAACTGGGATTCATTTGTGTCCTGCCTAGAGAGTCCGCAGTGGGAGGAAAACTAAGAGCTTGGATTATTGTTTCACCTTTCACTCTTCCTAAGCCCTCAACCTACACCTCAATCAGGCTGAAGTTTAGTTTGTTTGCTTTTTGAGATAGGGTTTTGCTCTGTAGTCCAGGCTGGGCTTGAACTTGCGCCCATCCTCCTGCCTCAGCCTCCAGAATGCTGGGATTATAGGTGTGTTCCACCATGCCTGGTTCAGGTCGGAGTTATATGATCTTTTTTCTCTTCAGAGTTACCTGGGATAAATTTCCCTTGTATAAAAACAATTGGTTTAGAGACAGAGACACGTTTCAGTTACTCCCAGACCAGTAAATTCTCCCGTTACAATGAGATATTCAGATGCTTAACTTCTTTGGCTTTAAGGATTCTTTGATTTCAAGCACAGAAAACTAACTATGCCCAACTTAAACAAAGATGACTTTATTATACAGTAAATATTCTCATAAATAAGCATTCTGAAGGCTAGCAGATCTTCAGAGACTAAGAACAGTTACTTCTATTAGTAACTATTGGTTAGGAAATCACTCTCCTTTCTTGATCCTAAACATGAGCTCACATTTTAGGAAGGGAAAATATTCTGTCCTAACTTGAATCATTACTGTATCTTAATTGGGGGAGAGCAAGGCTTCTAGCTGTTGGTCATCAGATCATACTCAATGAGAAAGGGCTAATTTCTCAACAAAGAATTGACACATGGTTAGGTAAAACCACTGAAATATGTTACTGACATGATTTCCTGGAGGTCAGTCAATACACAACAATCTCTATTAAACTGCAGTTGAGCCTTCTCTTACTTGATCTTTACCAGGTGAAACTGAGCCTTCTCTCACTTTCTTTTTACACAGGTCACACTCCCAAGCCTTTTCAATGTCATTGATTATTTTGTGAAGGAGACTCGGGGAAATTTACGGCCATTTATCTATTCCACTGATGATAACTTTGGTATGTTTTTTACTTTAATGCTCTGTTAAGAAAGACATTAACTCAAATACTGATAGGGTTTCTAACACTGGACAGGCATGAACTGTAGTTTAACCTTTGAATTTATGCTTTTGGGAATCCTTTTGTCTCTGAGTCCATGAAAATAAGGGAGTACCAACAAATCCTTGTGAATAGTGTATGCTTCCATGAAAGAGGATGAAAAACCCTGAGGCATTGTGCAGTTAGTTACCTTCATTCCATAATTATATTTGGCTTTATCAAACATGTGCAATGGTATAAAGGAAATATAAAGGGCGATCTGTTCACGATGTCAAATGCTTCAGATAGGGTAGGATGAATGAGGATTAAGGAGAGACAGTAGGAATTGGTCATTAGGCAGGAGATGATCTAAGAGAGAGAAGTTTTTATTCCAACATAAAGGCAGAAGTCAGATGACAGCATAACAAGGAGTGAGTAGGTGATGAGGAAGTACAAAAATTAAAGTTAGTTCCAGTGACGGAATGTGTGGGCCCTTTGTTCATAAATGAAGAAGTTCAAAACAGGGAGAGCATTTCATTAAACCAAGAAACTGCACATGTCACAGGCTGTCAAGCTGGCTGGATTACATTCCAGTTTTTGGAGTGCAAGGCAGGCTGAATGTAATAGCTGCTCTTTATTTTTCCCCAACATGTGGTTATCAGCCAAGTACTTCAAACATCATCATGAACCTTCTGATGCCACCAAATAACAGAAAACCAAAAAGCTCAGAGTCTGAAGACCTTCAGAAACCGACTGAACACAGTGTCTACTCTGTAGGAGTTGCCTGTATATTCAGAACAGGAAGCATCTCTAAAATGTGACCATGCATCTTGTTCAAAAATTTCTACAGCTGGAGGTGTAGCTCAGCAGTAGAATGTTTGCCTGTAGTGCAAAAGGCCCTGGGTTCAACCCCTATGCCTCAAAAAAGAAAAAAAAATTCTAACATTAGGAGGCTTACCTATATTTTGAGGTGGTCCACTTCATTTCTGGTCATTTCTTATTTTTGTTTGTTTTTTGATACTGGGCATTGAGCCTAGGGCCTTTGCATTGAGAAACATCCAGAGCCATTTTTATTTATTTCAAGACAGAGTCTAGCGAAGTCAGTAAGTTGCACAGGTCGGGCTTGAAATTTGCAGTGTTCTTGCTGTAGCTTCACAGAGTGCCAGGATGATAGGCATACACCACCATGCCTGGCTCTGGTCAATGTTTGTATTACACAATTCATCCTTAATAGTGAATATGGAATATTTCCTCCCATTATGTCTATGCCTGTATCTAATTTCTAGCATCATAACATTTAAAAACAACCAATGTCTCTCCTTAGTCTTTTCTCTTTGTCATCTGAATTGCTGGTTCCTGTGGTCCTCTTACTCTAATCTTTGATCTAAGTACATTGTTTAATTTTAATTAGTACATGTTGGCAGTACCTAATGACAACACTCATCACGGGGAGTTGGTACATGTACATAACATGTCTTAATTCCTTTATATTCCTTTTTCTTCCTCCTTCTGTTGGTCCCCTTCCCACTTGAGAAACACTTCCCTGATACTTATTATCAGTATTTCATTTTGCTCTTTATTTTTATTTTGGATTTCTCATAAAAGAGAAGCTATGTAATATTTAAACTTGTGTGTCTGATTTATTTCACTTAACATTATGGTCGCAAGGTGCATCCATTTTTCTATGAATGATTCAGCTTTATCCTGCTATATAGCAGAATACTATTCTATTATGAACATATATGTAACTTCCAAGATTTAGCTATTATGAGGTGGGCTGCTATAAACATAGGTGTGAGCGTATCACTGTAATATCATGTCTTTAACTCTTTTGGAAAGATACCCAGAAGTGGAAAACTGGGTCAAATGGAATTTCTACTTTTAGTTTTTTTGATGAACCTCCATACTGATTTCCTTAGTGGTTATATTAGTTTACATTCCCACCAACAGCAGAGAAGGGATCCCTATTCCCTGTACCTTGGCCAACACTTGTTATTATTTGATCTCTTGATAGCAGTCATTCTTTCTTGAGTAAGATGGAATCACAGTGTTGTGTTAATTTGCATTCCTGTAATGGTCAGAGATGTTTCATGTATTTAATGCCCATTTTTATTTCATCTCCTGAGAAGTGTCTCTTCATTTCATGTGCTAGGGCTGGGGATTTAGCTCAGTGGTTCCGTTGACTGCCTCACAAGGGCAAGGTCCCGAGTTCGATCCCCAGTACAAAAAAAAAAACAACAACAAAAAAAACCCAACCCAAAAACCAAAAAACCAAGAGGTCATATCACGTTCTTTTTTGGGGGGTGGGTACCGAGGATTGAACTCAGGACCTTTAGCTAAATACCCGGGCCCTTCACTTGCTAATTTTGACTGGCTATTTTATTTTGGAGGTCTAAAGTTTTTGTTCTTTATATTTTCTGGATACTACTCCTGTATCCAAAATTTTTCCACATTCTGTAGGCTGTCTCTTCATCCTGTTGGCTCTTGCTGTGCAGAAAATTTCACATAAATCCCATTTGTTGATTTATTTTTTGTGCAACTGGGGTTCTGTTCAGAAAGTCCTTGCTTATGCCTGTATCTTCAAGAGTTTTATGTATTTTATCTTCTGGTTAGGTGTTTTTGTTTTAATATTTAGATCTTTGATCCATTTTGATTTTAGTTTAGTACATGGTAAAAGATATGACTCTAGATTCAATCTTCTCTTTGTGGATACCAGGTTTCCCAGCACATTAAACTTTTCTTTCTGCCTCTTTTTAAAAAAAATGTACCTAGAAATTTCTGCATCCTACATTCTGATCATATGTCTGTTTTTGTGTCAGTTTCAGGTTTGTTGTTTTGTTTTGTTTTTTTAATTACTGTAGCTTTGTAATATAACTAGAAATCTAGAATCGTGACACCTTCTTTGCTCTTGTTATCCAGTGTTTGTTATTCTGGATATCTTGTTTCTATTTGAATTTTAAGATTGTTTTTTCTAGTTCTGTGAGGAATGCTTTTGGTATTTTGATGGAGATTGCATTGAATCTGTGTATCAGTTTTGGAAGTATGGCCACTTTGACAGTATTAGTTCTGCTTATTAAGGAACAGGAGATAGCTTTTCATTTTCTGATGACCTCTTTGATCTCCTTTTTCAGAGTACCATCTTATTTACTTTTCTTGTTGCAAAGACACAGTACCTGACACCAAAATTTAAAGGAGAAAAGGTTTATTTTGGATTACAGTTTGTAGAGGTTTTAGTCCATAGTTGGCTGGCTGCAAGGCAGGGGGACATGGTGGAGAATAGCTCATGGCATGGCAGACAAGCAGAAAGAGATCAAGGGAGAGGGAGCAAGATACCCATCCAGACCATGCCCCCAGTGAACCACCTCCTCTAACCATGCTTTACCTCCTAACATCACATTTATCTATAAACTCATCAGTAGGCTAATCCTCTGAGATTGTCATGCACCAATGATTCAGTCATCTCCTAAAACCCCCACCTATGAGCAACAGGAGGTTTAGGGGACATCTAGATATAAACTGTAAAAAATACTATATTTTTTTTAAACTTCCTTTGTTTAGATTAATTCCCAAGTAATTTTCTTGAAGCTATTATAAATGGGATTATTTTCCTAATTTCTTTTTCAAAGGGTAGATTGATAGTGTAAAGGAACACTCTTGAATTTTGATGGTTGATTTTGTATCCTGCTACCCTGCTGAATTTATTAGTTCTAGGAGTCTTTTGGTAGAATTTTTGGGTCTTTGATGTTAAGGATCAGGTCATCTTTGAATAAGGATAGTTTGACCTCCTTTTCTATGTGCATCCTTTTTCTTTCTTTTTCTTGCTTGATTGCTCTGGCTAAAGTCTTGAATGTTCTAGTGGACAGCAGTGGTAATAGTGGATATCCTTGTCTTGCTCCTGATTTCAGAGGAAAAACTTTCAGTTTTTGACCACTTAAGATGGTATTGCCAGTCTTTCATAAATGGATTTTGTCAGATTGAGATAAGGTCCTTCTATACCTATTTTCTTCAAGTTTTAAAGCCCTGAATGGATTTTAAAATCATGAATGGATGCTGGATTTTGTTGCAATCTTTTTTCTTTTGCACCCATTAAAATGGTCATGATTTTTGTCCTTGCTTCTATTTCTGTGATATATTACATTTATTGATGTGGGTATATTGAATCATCCTTGCATCACTTGGATGAAGCCTTCCTGGTCATGATATATGATCTTTTTGGTGATTTGCTACATTGTCTGCCAGTATCTTGAGGATTCTTGCATCTATGTTCATTAAAGGTATTGGCCTGTAATTTTCATTTTTAGGTAGGTCCTTGTTTGGTTTTGGAATCAAGGTAATATTACCTTCCAGGAGTGAGTTTGGGGTACTTCTTCCCTTTGAATTTCATTAAGAATCTGAGGAACAACATCATATTAAAAGGTCAAAAACTAAAAACCTTCATGCTAAAATCAAGAACAACACAAGGATGTCCACTGTCATCACTTCTGTTCAATATAGTTCTGGAAACATTAACTACAGCAATTAGACAAGAAAAAGAAATAAAAGGAATAAAGATAGGAAAGGAAGAAGTTAAACTGTCATTATTAGCTGACAATGTGATACTCTACATAGAAAACCCAAAAAACTCTGGCAAAAGACTTCTAGACTTAATTGAAAGATTCAGCTGAATAGCTGGGATACAAGGTCAACACTCAAAAATCAAAAGCCTTCTGTACACAAATAACAGACTCACTGAGTGAGAAATTAGGGAAACAATTCCTTTCACAACGGCATCCAAAAAATGAAGTATCTAGGAATCAATCTAACAAAAGAAGCAAACGACCTCTACACTGAAAACTACAGCACTCTGAAAAAACAGATCAAGGAGGATATAAGAAAATGGAAAGACATCTCTTACTCCTGGTTAGGAAGAATCAATATAGTGAAAATGGCCATACTTCTAAAACTACTATATAGATTCAATGCAATCCTGATTGAAATTCCAA